TTAAAAATATAATCATATCACGGATAAATATAAATCCAAAATTGTCTCCTTTTTGTAAATCACAGAGGGTTAAAGCGATTATTAAAAATATGACAAAAAATGATTGATTCGATTGCTGGTTATTTTAATTGACAATTTATTGAATTATAATAAATAACTCTTTAGCCGGAAACTTAATAATTACAATGTTTGATTGCAGTATTACCGAATGATGCATAATTACACGTGTGTCGTTAATAATTATTTATTTGTGAGCATTTGCATCAACGGTACATTCATAAATCGAAATGACTGGGAATAGAGGGTCATTCATAAACGGGTCTTCGAATTAGTGATTTGTGGATTGCAAAATTATTGAATTTTCATATTTTTATGTTATTATTTATCAAATTTTAAAATGTCGATTTTGGAAATTTGTACATTTTTGAAAATTAAATTTCAAATTTTGTAAAATTTTCAACTTCTAAATTTTTATATTTTCGGGTTCTTAAGACTTCCAAGTTTCTGAAATCCCAAATTCCCAAAATCACTAGTTTCCAAAATTCCAAATTCCCAAAATCTCCAATTCCCAAAATTCCAAATTCCCAAAATCTCCAATTCCCAAAATTCCAAATTCCATATTCCCAATTCCCAATATCCCAAATTCCACATTTCCAATTCCCAAAATTTCAAATACCACATTCCCAATTTCCAAAATTCCGAATTCCCAAAATTCCAAATCCCACATTTCCAATTCCCAAAATTCCAAATTCCCAAAATTCCAAATTCCCAAAATTCCAAATTCCAAATTCCACATTCCCAATTCCCAATATCCCAAATTCCACATTCCCAATTCCCAAAATTTCAAATTCCACATTCCCAATTTCCAAAATTCCGAATTCCCAAAATTCCAAATCCCACATTTCCAATTCCCAAAATTCCAAATTCCCAAATTCCCAAAATTCCAAAATCCCAAAATCCCAAAATCCCAAAATCCCACAATCCCAAAATCCCAAAATCCCAAAATCCCAAAATCCCAAATTCCACATTTCCAATTCCCAATTCCCAAAATCCCAAATTCCACATTTCCTACTTGTAAACTTGAAAACTTGAACACTTGAAATTTGAAAACTTGAAAAATTTTAAACAGTTTAAAAACAAAATTACTTTTCGTCCATACAACATATTCTCCACCTACAACCCCTATCCCCATAAAATAACTTATATCGTATACTATTTAAAGTAGCCTTAGTCAGTATAGACACCGCTTAAGTAGTTATCCACAAAGTTGAACGAACACTTCAATAGCATATCCAGGTCGGAAACATTGACGAAGAGCAAAGAGGAGAGAAGAAGCGGATTGCCGCGTATATGTATGCCTACGTGTATACGAAAGGGGTCGTGGAGGGAGAATGCAGAATAAACAGTGCATTATATGCAATAACGCACAAAACGCCCCTACGGCTGTACAGCCATCTTCTTCGAAAGTTCCCGTACGGGAACGCGCACACGACCAATCCAATTAATTTTATTTTAATTACCGCATCGTCGAGCACACGTCGATTGTTATTGTTTCGGCGGCGACGAATCAACCGACGCGATACGTCGCGACGCCAGTTCGTTATTTCCCGGTGACAATTGCTGTCTGTCTGCACCACCGTGTCATTCCAACGGGAAGCGAATTCTTTTTTGAAGTGCCCGAATTGGTCGATTCTGGGACTGCCTGATTTTTTCGACGTCGATGAAACTGATGCGAGAGTTATAAGGTTCATGACTTTTTGGTATGAAGGATTTTGGGAATTTCGAATTTTAGGAATTTTAGGAATTTTAGGAATTTTAGAAATTTTAGGAATTTTAGGAACTTTAGGAATTTTAGGAATTTGAGGAATTTCAGGAATTTTAGGAACTTTAGGAATTTGGGATTTTGGGATGTTGGGATGTTGGGAATTGAAAATTTGGAATTTGGGATTTTAGGATTTGGGGTTTTTGGGATTTTGGGATTTTGGGATTTTGGGATGTTGGGAATTTTAGGAATTTGGAATTTTAGGAATTTGGAATTTTAGGAATTTGGAATTTTAGGAATTTGGAATCTTAGGAATTTGGAATTCTCCAACTCCCCAAATCTCCAAATTTGCAAATCCCCAAATCTCCAAATCCCCAAATCCCCAAACCTCAAAATCCCCAAATCTTCAAATCTCCAAATCTCCAAATCTCCAAATCCCCAAATCCCTAAATCTCCAAATCCCTAAATCTCCAAATCCCTAAATCTCCAAATCCCCAAATCCCCAAATCCCCAAATCCCCAAAATCTCCAATTCACAAACCCCCATCCCAACCTCCAAAATGTCTTCCTAATTCCACCCTCCATTTCACCAATTAAATATCAAAACCAGCAATTATACGTCCATGTAATTTTATCGAAACTCGTACAATAAATGTGACATATTATAAAGGTTGCGTTTAATTAGATGCTTTAAACAGGACATTTTAATTAAAAAGCTCAATATGATTCATAAGCTTTTCATTGTCTTCGTTCGGACGAACATCGTCGAACAATGTAATTTATTTTACCTTACCTGTTGTAAGCGATGCAGATATTTTTGAAAAGTAATTATTAATTACGGAAAATATAAATATACATCGATAAAATAAGTACACAATATCGAGTCTCGATAATAATTGAAACACGAAAATTATTGAAACGTTCATTCGATTTCTTTTTATCTTCCCAGTTATCTTGTTGGTTAATTCATGCTGCCACCTCTCGCGTAATAATTCATTTCAACGAGCTTTCGAGATTTAGCCGTTCGGTGCGACCAATCGATCCGTCTTTTCTCGATGGAACTGCTCTGGCAGTTCATTAAAATTTTACCCTGGAGAGAGAGAGGGAGTTGTCTTGATCTTTGATTTGCCCGAGAAACTTCGCTCCACAGTTGGAACCTTGCGGGGATCAGGCCGATTTCAGCTTCAAATTCACTTTGACTTCGACTGCTGTTCAGATTCCCACGGGATACATTGACAGACCGTTGGAAGCTTCTCTTCTCGTTTTACTAGAAAAATCGAGCAAAGATGTTCGCTCCACTTTCGTTATCTCAACGGATACCCGTTAAAGAATGGCTGCACTCAAAGTTGAAAAAAGGAGATATCGTTTCGACGACTTTATACGTACCACTTAGCGAGACCAGTATTTTTTGCATTGTTGAATTTTGGCGAATTATTTTTAATTGTAATTGTGATTTTTATGGGTTTTGGAGATGGTAGGTGGAGGACGGGTGATAACAATCTTCATATTTAAGGTGAAGTGAAGGTTATATGATGATTTACTTTTCTTTTGAAATTCTTTCTTTGAGAATTTATTTCATGGGTTTAAAGTGCAAGTTTCGAATGACTGGAATGATTAAAAATGACGTAACTTGCAGTTAGGTAATATGAAAATTTAATCATCAACATTTTGGAGATGTAGAATTTATATAAATTATGTAAATGTATGTATAGGGACTTTCAAATTTTTATTTGCAAGTTTTTAGACATTATAAGCTTCTCATTTACGGATTTAGAGATTTTGTAAATTTGAATACTGAAGAATTTAGGAATTTTTGTGTATATACAAGATATCTGGGGATGTAGAAACCTACATAGAAGTCTAGTAACTTTGCAATGCAGAAATTTTGGAAGGAAGAAGTTTAGGAAGCTGGAAATCTAGTGATCTAGTAATTTAGTAAAATAGTAATCTACTAATCTAGTAATCTAGTAATCTAGTAATCTAGTAATCTAGTAATCTAGTAATCTAGTGATCTAGTGATCTAGTAATCTAGTAATCCAAACATCTAAAAATCTAAAAATCTGCAAATCTGCAAATCCGCAAATCTAAAAATCTAAAAATCTAAAAATCTAAGAATTTAAAAATTTAAAAATCTAAAAATCTAAAAATCTAAAAATCTAAAAATCTAAAAATCTAAAAACCTAAAAACCTAAAAATCTAAAAATTTAAAAATCTAAAAATCTTCAAATCTAAAAACCTAAAAACCTAAAAATCTAAAAATCAAAAAGCCTAAAAATCTAAAAATTAAAAATTCTAGAAATTGATATTCCCAAAAATTAAAATTCTCAACCCGAAAAATATTTCGTTACTCAGCAGCGTCCGCCATTTGCAGATGGATCGCGTTCTTTCCGCGAAACGGAAGTTTTACGAAATTCGTAACAAAATTTATTCATAGCAGACGCACACGCGGGGCTCCCAAATCCAATAATGATCAGAATATTATCAGAAAAGTAAGGTTTCACGTTATTTCCATCGTGTATCGGCGTAATTTTATAAACACTTTGAAAATTTTGTGTCGCAATACGGCTTCGCGCGCTGAGATTGCTTGCCGTCTTATGGTTTCGTCTACTTCGGAGGAAAATAATTACAAAATCACAGAACAGAACGCTTTAAATCTTTCGTCAGCCCTTTTGGGAAGTTGCATTTGTCCAGCTTCCTGATTCGTCGACCGAAATAGCTATTCATATTTCAACGAATATATCTGCAATATACGTACACATATATTTAAACGTAAAATTCGAACGATACAATTTTTACGTTATTACAAATGAATCTCGATGCGCAAAAAAAAAATATCGATAAAAAACGAATGGTTTATTACAACCCTATTTTTTCCGCACGTGTAATATAGTACGTTCGATGTATTGAATGAAATTAATTTTCAATTTTTCATGACAGAAATACCTTTCGGTGACAAATTCAAATTGTAACAAGGATCAAATGTCACGCACTCGATACCGTTAATTATTTATCAGGTTATATTAAAACGGAAAATTGAAAATTGTGTATTCAATCGAATTTAACGAAACGTTTATTATGCAACGAAAAATGATAGGATAATTACAAATTTCATTAACCAAATTATTAAAACATGACCGATACCGATTAAAGATGAGTTAAAGAAATATGCATTTTGGAAAATCATAAATTTGTAAAAGTGTAATTTAGAAATAAAGACACGGTTAAATAATTAAATCAAAATGAGTGAGTCCAGGCAAACCCTCGATGATACAACAACCGATTACACGGACACGGAAGTGGGAGACACCGATGGCACCGGAAATGAGGAGGAAGAAGAGCCAGAAGAACCAGAAGAAGCAGAAGAACCAAAAGAAGCAGAAGAAACAGGAGAACCAAGAGAATCACAAGATCCAGAAGAACCAAAAGAGCCAAGAAGGAAAAAGACATGGATGGAAAAATGCATTATGCGGGAGAAATGGAAGTGCGACGATAAGGCACTTTGGCGTATTTACATGAACGCGTAAGTTACATCGAAACAACTTGATCTAATCCTAAAACAACTCATCTTACGTCCTGTTTTACAATTTCTCCAGATTTATGGAAGATCAAGAGAAACTGGAAAGGGATGACATTTTCAAACGTAGAAAGCCGGCAAAGTTTCGAAAATATCCACGCGTCCGATCGGAAGAGGATTTATCGCATCACAAATGCTTGCCCATGAGTGCTTTCCGTGATCAGCTGCAGTTACCTAATAAATTAGATCGCAAGAAGATGATTCGAATTTGGCGAAATATGCGGGCGAACTTGCCGGTTAATCAATTTTTATTACTTGTCATTTATTCTGTTTTCGTTAGTTCAATTGTACTTTGTAACATTTTGAAAATTCGTAGAATAGGACGGTTCGAAATTTGTAAGTAATAATTGAGGATTTTAAGAGAACTCTGAAAGGAATATGGTAGGTTCATGTTGCGTTAACACGGGAGAAACCGCGGGAGGGAAGAGTTCTTGAAATCGGCAATATAGGGAGAGCTGCTGTAGAGAACTTATAGCGTGTGGGTATACCGGATGATTTAATACAGTGCGCCGTTATGGAACATGTTGTTGTTGGACGCGCCACTATCCATCGCGTCAATATCCAACGCGCCGATATCCAACGCGTGGAAATCCATCGCGTCAATATCCAACGCATCGAAATCCAACGCGCCAATATCCAACGGATCGAAATCCAATGCGCTGATACCCCACGCATGGAAATCCAACGTGCCGATATCCAACGCATCGAAATCCAACGCGTCGATATCCAACGCATCGAAATCCAACGCGCCAATATCCAACGCATCGAAATCCAACGCGTCGATATCCAACGCATCGAAATCCAACGCGCCAATATCCAACGGATCGAAATCCAATGCGCTGATATCCAACGCATGGAAATCCAACGCATCGAAATCCAACGCGTCAAAATCCAACGCGTCGAAATCCAACGCGTCGATATCCAACGCATCGAAATCCAACGCGTCAAAATCCAACGCGTCGAAATCCAACGCGTCGATATCCAACGCATCGAAATCCAACGCGTCAAAATCCAACGCGTCGAAATCCAACGCGTCGATATCCAACGCATCGAAATCCAACGCGTCAAAATCCAACGCGTCGAAATCCAACGCGTCGATATCCAACGCATCGAAATCCAACGCGCCAATATCCAACGGATCGAAATCCAATGCGCTGATACCCCACGCATGGAAATCCAACGTGCCGATATCCATCGCGTCAATATCTAACGCGTCGATATCCAACGCATCGAAATCCAACGCGTCAAAATCCAACGGATCGAAATCCAATGCGCTGATATCCAACGCATGGAAATCCAACGCATCGAAATCCAACGCGTCAAAATCCAACGCGTCGATATCCAACGCGTCGATATCCAACGCGTCGATATCCAACGCGTCGATATCCAACGCATCGAAATCCAATGCGCCGATATCCAACAGATCGAAATCCAACGCGCCGATATCCAATGTACCGAAACCCAACGCACCGATATCCAACGCATCAAAATCCAACGTGTCGATATCCAACGCATCGAAATTTAACGGATCAACACCAAACGTGCCGATACCTAACGCACCGATATCTGATGCATCGATATCGAACATCCCTATACCCACCCCGCCAAAACTCACCCCGCGCAACCATACAATGCATCCATCTAATCTAATGCCACAATATACCAAGTCTCCTACCTTCACCAAAAAACTAAAATCAAAAATCCAAAGTAAACCTCACAAAATAAACCTCATAATTCTTAACAAACCTTGATAACCATCCTCAGGTACAAGAATCAAAATCGGATACCAACATACAGACTCAGCGAGAAGGAGTCGCAAGGACCACGAGTGACAAATGGCCGGGGATGTGGCCATGCACCACCAGGGATATGGCAAAGGAAATATTAGAAAGAAGAAAACAGCAGAGAAGAGCGAAAAGAGACTTGTTTCCTTGCGATCCAGGCGACGTACGCGACGAGTTCGAGGATCCAAGCAAAGACTATTCTGATCGCAAGGAATTAGGTCACGCTAGAATTCCGCAACCGTGTCCTGCACCAACTAAGGAGTTGTTAGTCGATCGAGCTGCCGGTGAACAACCTGGTTTAGTCGACGGTGATTACGTAATTTTCGAGTTACCCTCGAAAGCAAAGGGTACCAGGATCTATGCCGATGTATGTCTTCATGGTTTGAAAGGAATGCATTTGCCGGAGCTGAGTGTATTACGAGCACGTCGGAACACCTGGAAATTCTGCTTCTATCAGGCAATTGTTGCTCTTCTGGCCAAGACACAGATAAGGTACTTCTTCCACATAGTTTTATACTATTATATAAGATACTTTTGCTTCAAGTATTTCATCCTTTGGAATCTTCACATAATCTCTTTGTTAACACAATAAACGGACGTTGAATTAAAACCATAGCTAGACAAATGTCCTAATGTTCATTCACAAGAGAATCTTGTCCACTTTGATTAGACTTCAAGATGATACTTGCCCACTTTCGTCAAACTTCATCTTGTCTAGGATCTTTTTCGTGTTAATATTTAAAAGTCGAGTTATTTCAAAATATCAAAGATTACTTTTTATCTATTACAAGGTACAAATACGCCTGGAACGCCAACATCGATTACATCTACGACCACGCATGGATGCTGTACACACACATCGGCATGATCAACATAAAGGAGAAGCAAAGACTGGACGACATCGTGGTGTACAATTACAAGTACAGCATCGAAGTGGAGCTGATTCAAGAACTGAACGACGTCCCCATCGTGACCGACATCCCGTGGGATTACGAGGAGAGGAATCTAAGGCGCAAGATGGTGTTAGAACGAAAGGAGTTGATGAACGTTCAACTGGAGATTGGTTCCGAAAAGATAACCGACGAACAACGGACACCCGTTCACAGCGGGATCAAAGAAATCGAGGAATGGTTCGACAAGCTTAAAGTCCGTTATCGCAACTGCATATTTCGCACCACACGGTTCTCCTTAGCATTCTGGAACGATAGCAGTTTTTGGTACTTGTACAATCCATATCGATGCGACAAGTTCGGGTACTGGGACGATGACGGTTACGCGTGCATCATGAAATTCTGCACGAAGGAGTCTCTTCGGAGACACCTGATGATTCTTCTGCTGAGAGCTTACGTGTATGAAGTTCCAAAACCGGAGAAGCCGGAACCCGAGCAGAAACCGGAAGAGGCGAAACCGGAGGAACAGCCTGCGACTACTGCGGAAGAGACGCCGCAAGAACAACCACCGGGAGAACAGCAAGAACAACCGCCGGTAGAACAGCAAGAAGAACAACCGCAGGAAGAATCGCAGGAGGAACAGCCACAGGAAGAACAACCTCCGGAGGAACAGGCACAAGAACAACCGCAAGCAACCACGGAAGAGGCTCCAAAGCCAGAGGAGCCAGCCGAGGAAGAACCAACCGAGAAGTTCTTCACAGTTCAAATTTTCCACGTGGTCCACCATTGTTGTCAAATCCACAACCTGAAGTTGTTACAACGAGGTCCACCAAAACCACCCAGACACCTGGTGAAGAAGAAGACGATCGACGACTGTCCGTTTGATCCTTTAGACACAAGAGACCCGTGCACCATCGAACAGGAGGAAGGAGATCTCAAAGAAGCCATCGAGAAACCGACATGGTTGAAGCTGTACAAGATCATCTGGGCGAAGTGCATGGCAATTCCTCAGAAGAAGAAGGGTATCAAAGACGTGGCCTCGAAAATGCGCTGGCACCAATACGTCGTCGAAGAGTCCAACAAGTTGTTCTCCCTTTGGGGCGAGATTCACATAACGGACAGCATGTTCGAGAGGGAGAACCGTGGCATGCAGACGTACGCTTGTTACGTGGTTTGCGCCGGTATGACTCGCATCATGGCGCCGGAATATTGGACCTCGAAGAACCTGGACGTGATAGTCATGTGCGGGGACAGGTACTACACGCACAGCAAACTGGAGGCCGAGTTTAAGTCGACTAAGAACGAATATAGTCACGTGAACTGCTGGAACAGGTACCTGATGAGCCACTTCAAGATCGGCGAAACGATGTTCGAGGCCAAAGTCCTGCCTGCGATTTGCGGCAGATTGTACTCCAAGACGTGCAAGTACCTCTGGCAGTCTTTGGAACAGATGTTCCTGAAATATCATTTTGGTATTCTGACCTGCGAGAGCTCCTGTCTAGGGATTTTCAAGTTCTGCGGCGCGTATTACATGTACGACGTGAACTCCTTTGGTCCGCCGTTGTATCAGTACGGCGAAGGAGCTTCTTACTTGTTGAGAGCTACGTATTTTTATAAATTCATCACCATCTTGGTGGTCACGATCGGTTCCCCTGAATGCAGTCAGTTTGCACTGAATCCTATCGAGATATTGAAGGTTATCGATGTGGGCCCGAGCGATGTGCCTGTTGCGAGGGCGGAGAAGGAGAGAGGCAGAAGAGTAGCCAAAGTGGAGTGCCCGTATGATGAAGAGAAGAAGAAACAGATGAGGAAGTGGAAGCATAAGAGGGCGGAAACTGCGAGGCTCATTGATAAATTGTGTTGCAAAGGCACCGAACAATGATCAATTTTCTTTCATTTTGTAAGTGCACGTTTTTTGTGTATGGCGCTTGTAAATTTTACACTGTCAAATAAGATTGAAAATTTGTGAAAGGTGGATCAGGGAAAGGTGGTACATTGTTTGGCGATGAGGGAGGGTGTTCGATATTGACCTGCGCCAGGGGCTTCTGGGGCGGGTACTAAGTACGTGTGGTATTCATGCTGGACTCTTCCTTTTCTTCTTAGCTTTATAATTTTTAGAAGATGTGATATTACAGTAGTTCGATCAGCTAAATTATAACATAAACCCCCTTCAATTTCGTGTACACTGACGTCGACAAAATAATGGATTTGAAATAACCCTGAACCTGTATATCCCTTTGTTCAAAGCTTCAATAAGTTCGCAAACTTGAAGGAACGTAATGTCTGTGTAATTTGAAGTACGTTACAAAGAAAAAAAAATTGGTAAAAAGAAATATGGAAATGTTTATACGGGTACTTAGTTGTCCAGAAAAGAGTTAAGTAACGCGGGTATCCGAAAGGAAACACTCTAAAGGTGGTGGTAAGTTTGAATAATTGAGAAGGAAAAGTACTCTACGACGATGGAAATAAAAGAAGCCACGTTTAAGTCGATCGTCTTTAGGTCTCAGTGCAGCAACGGCGCGGAACCTATTAAAGTTGCACCGCAGAGGACGTCTTAGTTCTTGGTCGCCCTCGGGATTTATGTACTTACCCGAAACTTGGCCTCAACTTTGTTCACGGCGGAACTTACGGTGTCCATGAGTCGCCGTTACCTTTAACCAGCTGCCGGTCTTTCACCCCTATCGCACAATACTAATAATATAATCGTCGAGGCACGTAGAACTAAGTTCCAACTATAAAGCCACGGCAACTGCCGAGGGATTTTAATCACCGATCCATTCTGTTATGTGCAAGTTGATTTTCGCCACGAAACTGACCACAGGGAACGTAGATCAGAAAATACAGGACGTTATGGTTATTAGATTACAGTGATTATATTATAAACAAGCTTTGCAATGAAATTTCTTGAAAGTCTGTATGAAAGAGGAATGATGAAGTGAAGAAGTTTGAAAAAATTAAAAGGGAAATAATTGTGTAGTACTAGTAATTTGATTTAAATAAAACAACTAATTATTAAGATTATAGTACAAGACCATATTATGCCATTTTAAAAAATCAAAGTGTTAATTGCAAAATTTGATGATGATCGTATAAAAAATACACGTATCCTTGGTATCTTGAATTCAATAATTTATTTCACTACCTATTATACACATCGTGCGTAAGCTCTATGTACAAATATATTTACACCCTAATTTCATTATTTACACGTCCCCTGCGCGAAGGGGAGAACCTGTTGGTTCAGGGTCCTCTTAACAGTCAATGAAAAAAAAAGAAGAAACGGGAAGATAAAACGAAAAAGCCTAAAACCAATATTTCAACTACGCCACTTCGAGATCCGAACTGTCAGTGTCTTGTTCGTGTTGCTGTTGTTGCTGTTGTTGTTGCTGTCTGGCCAGGGTTAAATGGTCGGCCACTTTGACCGTAGCCGTGGGCACGTTGTCGTCGGTACGTTGACGTTGCTCCAACTGAAGTTTCCGCATACGTTCCTGTTCTTCCCGTTTCTGTTTACGCCACTTGGCACGTCGGTTCTTGAACCACACCTGGAATTGGAAATGTTTGATGAAGGAAACCCGTGGATAGACTGGGTTACGTTTATTTTATACAAGTTCTAGAACGGTAGCTGGAAAACGATCTCTTGAAGCTTGTGAAATGGGGGAATTCGAAACGAAATTATGCGTAAATAATTCGATAACTGTGCAAAATCGGATGCAGCATATCTTATTTCGTTAATAGAAACGGTATGTTGCGTAATTGTTATTTAATACTCCGTTGAATGTAGAGCGTTATATCGACGAATGTACTATTATGTGTTGTGTTATTATGGGTGGTATTATTTTACGATGTATTGGCATATGTTCAGTTGCTTCGCGTTGCATCGCCACGCATTGTATTACCACGCGTTATATCGCCACGCGTTGTATTACCACGCGTTGTATTACCACGCGTTATATTACCACGCGTTATGTCACCACGCGTTATATTGCCACGCGTGGTATTACTACATCTTCCATTACAACGCGTTATATCGCCACGCGTTGTATTACCACGCGTTGTATTACCATGAGTTATATCGCCACGCGTTGTATTACCACGCGTTGTATTACCGTGAGTTATATCGCCACGCGTTGTATTACCACGCGTTATATCGCCACGCATTGTATTACCACGCGTTGTATTACCACGCGTTATATCACCGCGCGTTGTATTACCACGCGTTGTATTACCACGCGTTATATCACCACGCGTTATATCGCCACGCGTAGTATTACTACATCTTCCATTACAACGCGTTGTATCACCATGCGTTATATCGTCACGTGCTAAATTATCTAGCGTTATATAACCACGCGTTATATTACCACGCGTACTATTACCACATTTTCCATTACGACGCGTTATATTGCCACCCGTTGTATTTCCACGCGTTATATTATCACGCGCTGAATTACCTCGCGTTATATCGCCACACGTTATATTACCACAATTTGTATCGCCACATATTTTTCTACAAAGCATTGCATCTCTACACATTATATCACCGTGTGTTACATTATCACGCGTAATATTGCCATATGTTACGTTTCCACACATTACACCACTTCGCGTTACATTGCCACATGCTACAATACGTCATCAATTCTTCGAAAAAGAAATACAAATATTTGAACGATAGACATAAAGTTTGATTTAGAAAGAAAATTCCGTGCATTATCTAACACGACTGACAAAGGATGAAATCGTATCTCATTACGGTATAAATCACGAGCTAAGAACGAGATCGGCGCAATAACCGAGACGATGAAGCGTCATCCGGCAATAACGGAGATATTGATTGTCGTCCGTCATTTAAATTGAGTCGGACAAGCGTGAAGAACAAATGCTGATTCGAAATGTGGGATGAAGCCTTTTGATCTTCGCTGGCTCTCCCCAAGCCTTGTTAGAACTACGTCCGACGAACAGGTAAACGGGGTTATCAATTAAGCGCCGTCTCTATCCTTGTAGTAATTAAGGTCTGTTTAATAATTATATGATACAATCATGACGAGCCTATGTATTCCAACGAGTGAAACGCATCAGTTGGAATAATTATGGAGTTTGCAGTCTATGAATTACCGGTGCGTCATATAAAGTAATTAGAGGATAATTTACATAAAATCAGATATCGTGCTATGATCTCTGATTATTTCGGATAAAATTTTGACGATTAATAAAAGATAATAACTGAAAACACTAGTACCGATTATCGTTATACTGCTTTGGGTGGAGCTTAAATGGAAAATTCTTGGGTGATACAGTGTTTTCTGCTTATTTCTGTGTACATTATTTTTCCTATTTTTAAATACTAATTCAAATATTTCATGTCTTGTGCAATTACCGTATTAATGCGAAGGTGAATGTAGAAAGAAAAAATAATAATCATTATTTATGATAAGGTTTATCAGAAATGCAACATTTTTATTTCACATCTGTTAAATTTTATTTTATGGTAAATTAAAGTCCATAACTTAAGTGACTAATACAGAAAATTAAATCGGAATATCCTTGCACAGCTATTTTCTTTCAAAACTGAAACTGAGCATCCCTCCTTTCAAATAGGACTACAATGGCACGCGAGAAAAAGGGTTCCTTCAATCCAGTTTCAATGACACGGCCCTAAATCCTTTAAAATGATCCTTCGAGCATCACCCGGCTAACAGTCGAACGTCAAAACTGTTTTCGTTCTCGAAAATCCGAAACCACCATCATTTATTAGCATAAAAATGTTTGTTCGATTAATGGCCTCCAATCACCGAATTGCCGGGATTAATTAGAAGGAGAGCTCGTTAAAAATTGACACTCGAACGCAATGCAAATCTTTACAAGGTCAAATACGTTCGCAAATTTCCACCATGTAATGTGTGTATTTTCGATGCGTGTGTTAGTGTAATTCGCGTGTAATCAAACGTGTAGTACCGTTGATTGTGTGTTTTATTTATAACGCCAATTAGTTCTCATGAATATGTTGGAGATCGTTTTTCTTTTTTATTTCTGAATTAATGCAAAACATAGGCAATTTTATGATGGAATTTCATGCATTAATTTTGACAATTCTTCTCATTTTTAATTCGAAAATATTTTGCATACAACGCTTGGTCTGTTTGTGGCAATATAACGCGAGGGAATTTTATTGCAATTTTATGATGGAACAATTTCATGCATTAATTTTGACAATTCTTCTGATTTTTATTTCGAAAATATTTTGCATACAACGCTTGGTCTGTTTGTGGCAATATAACGCGAGGGAATTTTATTGCAATTTTATGATGGAACAATTTCATGCATTAATTTTGACAATTCTTCTAATTTTCATTTCGAAAATATTTTGCATACAACGCTTAGTCTGTTTGTGGCAATATAACGCGAGGAAATTTTATTGATCTTCATGTCGTTTAATTTCCCTTCAAATTCAGTAAACAATACATATGAAAATTATTAGTTTTCTAATACTTTAATCACTTACGAATCTGAAATTAACAAAATTGTTAACAAGTTTAAATCTTCTAATTGTTCAGAGCTATTTTCCCAACTATAAAGTTCTTAGGAGGTAAAAGACAGCCTAAAACAACGTAAAGTCTCGAAACAAACAACGATAAGGTCTGCAAGGATAATCACGAACGGTGATAAGTAACGTGAATGGAATCAAAGAATTTCTTTATTCGCGGCCGGCAATTTGTTCGAACAATCGTACAATCCCAAAGTCATTCACACTTATCGTGGACCAACAGACCACCCGTATCGTCGGCTTTACCAAAGAAAATCCCTGGTCTCGAGAGTCTTTAAAGACTTTGAAACAACATATACCTGCAGCGCACCTGCCGCATCGAGCAAGAGTTTCGGTGTTTGTACAGAATTAGTAGAAAGGCGACTTTTGAAACGAGAAAGAGGAAAATGCCGGGATAAAGGAAAAACGAGAAACAGCTCGAGAGGGCCTAAAGCACTCCATCCACTGTTTGGAAAGAAGCACGACTGTTTACCTGTGCGACGGTCTTTCCTATCTTCGTGATTGCATCGACAGCAGAAACAAGTATTGGGATATAAAGACAGATATTTTATGATATTTTTGTTTATGGTTACTGGGGAGTTATTAGAATGTGTTAGTGGTATTTGGTGATTTAAGTTTGGTATTCAATTTTGGTTGTTAGAGATTTTTTTTGGAAAAGTATAGGTTAGGATTGTAGCGGAGGTGCAGTGAAGAAAATGGCGGTTTTAGAGGAAGAAGTTTGTTGGGTCTTTGGTTGGGGGATTTTTGGATTAATAAATTGTGGCATTGAAAATTTGGGAATTTGAGAATTTGAGAATTTGAGAATTTGAGAATTTGAGAATTTGAGAATTTGCAAACTCGAGGACTTCAAAATTTAGAAATTTGGCAATTTGTGAAGTGGAGGACTTTGCAAGTTACAATTTGGAGATTTGGAAACTTGGGAATTTGGAAGTTTTTTAATTTAGAAACTTGGGGAGTTGGAAATTTGAAAATTTTGGAACTTGGGGATTTGGAAATTTGAAAATTTAAAAATTTGGTAATTTGGAAATTTTACAATTTAGGAACTTGGGAATTTGGAAATTTGACAATTTAGGAACTTGGGAATTTGGAAATTTGAAAATTTGGTAATTTGGTAATTTGGTAATTTGGTAATTTGGTAATTTGGGAATTTGGGAATTTGGCAATTTAATAATTTAGTAACCTGACAATTTCTAAATTTAAGAATTCAAATATTTCACAATTTAGAGATTTGAGTCCACCAAAAACCTTGAAAATAAAAAAATCCATAAACCCAACATCTCAAAAATCTAAAAACTTCCAAATCCAAAAATACCCAAATCCAAAAATCAACACGCATTTCAAACATCACAAATTCCCCTCAGCTCGCAATGCCAAACTGAAGAATGGCGACAAATGAAGAAACAACCATTACAAAACACCCCCACTAAAGAAACAAAGATTTATCGAACGGTGTAATTGAAATGAACACATGATCGGCAAAGCTTTTAATCCTGCACACAATTTGTTGACTCGAGTCTAGCAATACAGCTGATAAATACAGGGCTCGTATAATTTTAATGATCGCATTAAAGAATGATGGCGTTTATCGACGAACGACGCGGTAAGCAATCTGCTCGAAAATTCTCGGACGAAAAGCGAAAGCATTTTGTCATCGTTAGAAATTATGCGTTCAGGGACGAGAGTTTGGACAATCCGAATGGTCAATGTTTGTCAACCGAAAACCTAATATTCTCCCAGGTTCGAGAGAGTAATTTGTCAGTTTAGGTAGCTACCGACGCGTCAAGACGTTGTAACCTTTCGGAAACTTCATTCCCACGAACTTCGTAAAGAAAATTGAAAATTAAATCACACACAACTTTAATATCGACTTTCACTAATTTCTTCTTCATGACTTAATTTAGAATTCGATACTGTTACAACGAACAACATATTATACAAAGATTCGATACCAACGTATAAACTGTGGGTCACATATTAATCTAAATTTTTAACATTTTAAAAATGTTTAAATCTTTATCATTGTAAATATATCGGTGGTGTTATTCTGAAGACATTTGACTATTTTTATTATACGTATAAGTAAAATTATTCATCGTGTAAAGTTTTTCATAAGATGGATGACCGACTTAATTGCAAATCATGTCACTCAAATATGAATGATTATTAAATAAAGTTCCTCAACCTTATATAATTTCCACTTTATATGACTCACTCTTTTGGAAGATACAAAGTGATTTTATAGTAAAGTGAACTTGTTCAATGAATTTGTTATTCAGTCCACTAAATAATCGACTCACCTCGATTCGTTCTTCCTTGAGATCGACTTGCAGCGCGAGTTGTTCTCTCAGGATCACGTCAGGATAATGCGTCTTGTCGAAGGTGGCTTCTAATTGTTCCAATTGTTCTTCTGTAAATATCGTCCTATGACGACGCTTCCGTTTTGCCATGGGACCGACAGCCCCGGCATTTGGATTTATTTGGTAAGGATGAGCAGCGTGGTAGAAGGCCGGTTGTCCGTGGAGAGAAACGCCGGCGGCTGCCATTGCTGCTACGTAACCTCCGGAGTACAAACTGGGGTATGCTGCAGCTGGAACAAAAGACAAATGGTTAATTCATCGTTAAATAATATTGAGTGGTTGCAATTTTAAATATTTCTCTGTTACAATGCTATACTTTTGGTACATTATATTTTTATATACATATCAAGATCTATATGGCGGTCTGGCTTGTAAATTACACTTTGCTTGTGTTTTTAAATTGTAACTAATAGCAAGTGTATTATTGTGATGTTTGTATAGGTATGATATGTTATTATCAACATATTGATATGTTATTAGCAACGTATCAATATGTTGGTAATATGGAAACATGTATGGAATATGTTGGTAATATGTAAACATGTATGGAACATGTTGGTTATATGAAAACATAGAATTATTTGGTCAGTTATGAATTTAGTTTAGTTTATGTTTGTTATTGCTATATTAGAATCTACGTATAAGTCACATTAAATCCTACAAGTTGTTCTGGCGCATTTGTAAATCGTAATTTACTTGCATTTTTAATTATCTTATAATAGGAACAACATTTCAAGGACTGGCTACGAAGTTGAAGCAAGATCTAAACTTTTAGTGATTGCTTCACAAGGTTAGTTATTTTATAGTCTATACAGAAATTCAATTATCTAGAAATATAAAAATTATCCAAACTACCTTGCATTTAGAGTAACTATTTCACTTCTGATCACAAGTGCCATATATTAAAATCAAATTGACAAGATTTCGTTGCAAATTTGTCTAACAAAATATTAATATTCCACTCGTTCGACTCACCCTGTAAATACCACAAACGACGCGTTAATTACGCTGTAAATATTAATAATATTAATTGAATGTGTCGAATGTGGATTTTGTGTCAAATCGAACACCTTGCAACTATTAGCAAAAATATTAAAACCATAATGAGTTTCCAGTTCATAACGTGTCAGTTTGATGGAACGAAAAAAAGTACTCGAACACCCCAGCCCCCAAGGGATGTTTTGGTTTAAAATCTCGAAGAAAGCTGCTTAGAGGCGACGTCGCCGCATAAAAATGTGGCGAAGGGCGAATTTATGCTTTCAACCAGAGTCGTGTCGGTAGTTCTCTCTTTCTGGTTGCATATTTTTCCTTCTCGTTTTTCATCTTCCGGCCGGGATTGCAAGGAGCTAAATCGTTCGTGCGTGATCGAAACGGATTGCGGATTTCAGGCCGCGCACCCCCAATCTGCGCGAAGGTTCTTGCGGGTGAAATACTTAAAGCCCTCGAGGGCATAAAGGAAATTTCGTTGCAGAACGCGTCGAGCCTCCGAGGATTTACGCCTTCTTTCATTTTTCCCGCTTCGAGATTTCAGCTTCCGCGTAATACGCGCAACACCGCGGGTCAAATTGTCTTGAATATTCCTAAAGCACTTATGAGTTAGCGGGCAACGGTCTACATAGTAAACAGATCTCACTCGCATTATTTTTAATCCTTGCATGTGCCTTTGAGACTTTACCCAGGTGATTTGATCAAAAATTTCTTTTCTCGTATTTTTTCCTGGGAAAATATATTTAAAAAAATGTTTGTAAAAACAGAACAGATCTCGAGAACACACTTCACGTTTATCAAAATTTATTTTACTAAATTTCAACTTGTAAATTTTATTAAGGTTAATGTTGGAATTTTTGCTAACAGGAGTATCATAGTAAGAGAACAAGCTCTTATTACTAAATTACTTCAGGGATTTCAGAACTTGAGAATATAAAGATATGAAGATTTGAAACTTTGGAGTTTGAGAATTTGGGTATTTGTACATTTAGGTTGTTGAAAACATGAACAGTTACAGAGCTTGGACATTTGTAAACTAAGAAATTGTTATAGTTATTTAATCTTGTAAAACTGAAGAAAACTACTCTTATTCTAGTTAGCCAAAAAAACCAGCGTTGCACCAGTAAACTATGGCACTTTAACAGTAAATTATGGCACTCATAACATATCATTATATCATAACTTTAAGTCTACGTTCAGTTTGAGGCTTCCGAATATTCTCAATATAAATAAACAAGTCAATATAAATATCCTCAATATCAAATAAAATAAAAATCGTCTTACCAAACAAGTCAGCGGATGTAAACGCCAGATGATGAATCTGCTGCTGAAGAGGATGTATCGCCGTGGTCCTCGAGGGTGACCCAACAGTTTCAGGGTTCTGTATAATAGAACCAAGACCCGTGGTGCTGGTCGGTGTCATATTTCCTATGGGTCTAGGTGCCAAGATGTTCTCGATAGTGAAGGCAGACGTGGGTGACGACATGGTAGCCGAGGAACTCGGTCTCGAAACATCGCGAGGTCTGAATCTGGTTTCCTCAGGACTTACGGGACTCCTGGAGAACGCTTTTTCCCGCGAATCGTTGTGTCGCCTTCCCACGTTCTGCTCGTCGCTCTTCAGCTTCTGTTGCAGACTCTCTGGGGAGTAGTTGTAGAGGTAACGGTGGCTGTAACCGGATATCCCGGGACCATCTTGAAGAGGACTCGATGGCTCGGTCATCGGAGAACGCGATCTGGGCGAATCACTCGCGTATATACTCTCTACCATGTTATGGGAGTAGTATCTGAACTTGTCACTCGTGTTCTTCTCGTTGCAACTGCTCGCGAACATCAATCGGTCGGATCAAAATCGGTAGAAAGACATTCTTCGATCACCCTACTATAAACAATCACACATCACGGGGAACTCACAAAATGTTCAAGTCCGTAACAGCATGAGGAAGTGTCTCATCACAGACACCACTGATCGGTCAACACGAAGAGTCTATCACAAGCATCCAGAGTGTAACCGGGTTGATACGGTGTAATTGTACCGGCGAAACAGCCACGAGGATTGGACGCGCGCGGAGAAGTCCAGATGTGCAGTGACACCGTTGATAAAGTATATCCGGCGACTGGTCCAAGTCGGTGTACGCGTTGACCTCTGGGGGTGCGCTTAGATTCGCCGGCATCTAGCTACGAGTTAGCCCACCCCCGTGTTAGTGACAGAGGGACAGAGACACCCTCGAATATATCCGGCAAAGTTTTGCCTCGAGTGGAACGAGGCGTGGCTCACCCTGGCTCCATCCACTTTTCCACCACCCGTCGTCGCTCGACATCCCCTGTGCGCCGTGTCGGAGAGGGAACGACGGAGGGCCAAGAGGGGGTTAGACAGGGAGAGAGACGGAAAGAGCTTCGACGATGGTTTCCGGTACGATGTAGGCGGAGGTGCAATCTCTTGACGACAATGATGGTTTGGGGTGGAAAAAGTGGGAGTGGAACGTCGAACGGCTCGACAGAATGCCCTTTCAAACCCTCTACCACCCTCTGCACGCACTACACGGGGGTGGAGAGGCGGCTGCAACGGAAACGGGAAAACGCGGTGGGAAACACGCGTATTTACAACGGATAATCACGACGTGTCTCGCGTATTACAGAGCTTTTCGAGTTTGCTTTGCGAATCGTATTCACGAATTAATCATGCTTCTGGAAGCGTTTACCTTCGGACGGGCATGATCGAATGCTCGATGTTGTTTCTGAAAATAAGTACGTATTTCCCTTTCGTCCTCGGGACTCGCGCTTTTTAATCGCCAATTATTTTTCTAATTTATCTGCGACTTTTATCCGTTTTCTCGGATTCCAGCGTTGTCGACTGGGCTTGCCGCTTTTGCAGGTTCCTCGGTAGATAAATTATGATTATCGTGATCAACTTTATTTTAGTTCATACTATAGCCACTTTTTTATAAAATTCTTTTACTGGATGTGGATTAACACTTCTCATTTTTATAATTTTATTTTTGGTCTCCTATTTATTGTTTATGAGTTAGTACTAGTAACAAGCATGTCAACAAATAAAATCGTGCAAGTGAAATAATTTGTCTGTCTTTTTTTTTAACAGAGATGTCTTCAGCAGTGTGTGGCTTCTTAAAGGAGCCATTTTGAAGCGGATGAAGACATAAACCCGTTATAAAAATATTTTATAATATATTACACTACTGTATATGTATTATATACAAATCTTGCATCTTTATTTTCATGTACTATATAAAAACCTTGTGTCTATATTATTATATGATACATACAAATTTTGTGTCTACACTACTGTAATACAAAATTCTTCACGCTATTAATTTCAGTATTCGCTTTATATCTTAACAATCGTTTCGCATTCTGTATCTATATACTGTATACCAGTGATCGAGTAATTAAATATTTGAAAAATAATAGCCAATAGCTTGAAATAACCGGTAATCCTCCACCGTTCAAATTCCAAATATCCCAAAATCAATATTTTAATACGCTGCGATGATCAGCGAAGTGATTAGCGTATTCGCGATTAGTCGAGTTACACACGATTCGTTTCTATGTTTGGCTGTACATCGGATATGCACGATATTATGCACTGAAACGTTACAGAATTTCGAAGTTCGATGCGAGGTTTAACGTTGCAACTCGCATCGAATCGCGTTTCGTTGTTTATGCAAATAGCGATAGAAGTAACCGGACAGCATTGAATTTCCATTTGTTAATTCGGGGGTTTCGTGTAATCCATACATCAAAGTTTATAATATCCCTAAATCTGAACAATAGGTATTATATGGGAAAAAAATTGTTTCGATTGTACCGTCGAAAGCACTCCACCCTTTCAAATATGCACATGTGTGTACACTCGCCGGACTATCTACGTTTCATTCATTGGTTTAAGCTTTTTCGCTTTAAATCGTGTAATGTTACCTCATATAGTTATATAACTTGATAGTTACAGAATAGTAGGAAATTTATAGAAGTTACAGAAGTTACAGACATTTTCATAGTATGTCTTCAAAGTTATTTTTTATTGGCATCCACTCGAGAGTGTAGTTTTACAAGTTTCATCAAAGATCTCTCTGTTGCTATGTGATACCTCGTTGCTCAGAAAAAAGGTGAATATCGGTATTGTTCTGATTGTTCTCTTTTATTAAAATTATAGCAATTGCATGTATTTAAACATCGTTGAAACCTGAGTTGAATTACAAAATACTTAATGGGTGACAGAACCATTATTGAACAAGCTATAAGAGAAGACAGAGTCACGGACTCTTATAAGAACAAGATGGCCGTCCAAAAAATGATGGAAAGTATATCGATACTATTTTGAAAATTCTCTTCAATCTATATCATAAGAACTAAATTTACATTCCGTTCAAACTTGAATAAAAATTATAAAGACCATGTACAAACGATTGTGGAAAAACCGATCATAGAAGAAGATAAAATCAGGGAATCTTATCGCAAGATGGTTGTTCAAAATCGTTCGAAAAGTTCTCCCCTTGATCCGCCCGATCTGTTCAATTATTCAAATCCCGCCCAATGCGTCCGTATTAATAACATAAAACCGTTGTAATGTGCATTGACTGTCATCAGGCTTGTTGTCGGTGGTCCTCGGTGGGGAGGATCGTGATGCGATACGTGGAGAACCGAGCGTGAAAAGGTTTATTCGTAGGGTCGCGCACGTACCCTGGACATTGTGAGTCCCCCTCTTTCTTACCCCCCTAAAGGATCCATGCACGCTTCAATCCCGTAGTCCGCAGCGAAATCTGTGCCAACCTTAATCCTAATCCGTACGTTAATCGTGGCCCGATCCGGAGAACCGAATCCCATGGCCGCGTATGTACCCACCGGTTTTAAGGGCGTCGTCAGAAAAGCATGGTGCACCCATAGAAAACGCTAGGACGGTCTCCTGTGAACGACATACTACTCCGACGTAGGACATCCTCTTTTGTTCGACGCACTCGTGAATTTCATTAGCACCAAACCGAATAGATACACGGTGATTCCTTTTGCCTTATCCTCGCGTATTTTGGCATTCGTATGCTAATCGGTGGCGTTTAGAACGCGATTTTGCGACCAGTTATCGTCCTCTAAACGATTCATGATTTCGGTTCTTTATAGCTGAAACTGGTTCGAGTTTAACGTTGTCTGTCAGTTAGAGATGCATCAGAAGGTGTTAACTATGTGGACTATCTGCTTCTATTATGGTTGTAGGCATATGGTATTATATGGTTGCAGCTTTATAGCACGTATTGCTAAGAGAAAAGTAGTACGAACAATTTTGGTTGATCTACTTGATCTGAATTATACTGTACCATAATTCTATTTTATTATTTCACAAATTTGAAGACACTCAGTAATTCAAAAATTCGAAGAATCTGGGAATTTAAAAATTTGTAGACTTAAGGATTGAAAAATTTGTGGAACAAGTTCTGATAGATCTTGACACTGCACAAATTTACGATTTCAAAATTACCCAAATCCTTACAATCAACCTTCCAATCCCATGTTTTCTAAACACTCGATTTTCCCGGAACGAATCGAAAATGGCCAGCTCTAATGCTTTCGAATTTCCGCAAGGATCTCGTTTCCTGTTTACAGCGAAAGCAAAACGAATGATCCTTCCCCGAGTCGCAGGTTTTAAAAAGTTCCCTCCACGGGGTTACTTCCACGTGAAAAGATTACAATTTCCACGGTAATCATCGGACTCGTCCTCTGGCGCTAATGCGGCGACAATACAGATGTTTTCGCGTCTAAGCGGCGTGCTAAGTGGATGTCCAGCTCGTTTCTCTTTTACCGTACCCTTCGAATCTACGCGCCCTACCAGGGGGTGCTAAGTTGTACCTGGTCATTTTGAAAAAGCGTGCTCGTTACTTTACCTTACACTTGACTGGACGCCTTCTTGCCTCTTCGGTGGGGAAATAATCGACAAGAGAGAAAAAGCAACGAGCAAAAGCCAACGGAAATTGAGCCTGCGAATTATCCTGCAACTAGCTTCCTCTCTGTCTATCCTTGTTTCGTGCGAACTGCGGAATCCGTAAGCCTAAGAAGCCACGTGAAAACCGGGGACGATTATCCGCGCAGTTTCTGGCGAATTTTCGATCTCTTTGAAAGGGTGATTCTTCGAAATGATACATTCTTATGTTCTGCTGAGAATTTCTGAATGTATGGATTTGAGGAGCAAATTTGAGAATTCGAGAACTTGCATTTACTTTGAGATGTAGGCAATCTATAAACCTGCTGAGAATTTCTTAGAAGTGGCGATTTGACAATTTTGAAAATTTGCAAACTTTAAAAGTTGAGGGTAAGGATTTATAGACTTGAGAACTTAATAGAGAGTTTGAAGCATTTGAAACTTAAGAATAGAAAAATTCGTAGAACTGGAAATTTGTGGACCTGAGAATTTAAAAAGAGAAGAACTTGTGGTAAAAATTTGTAGTCTGAGAATTTAAGAAGCATGGACTTGCTGAGCAAGTTTGGGAATTTTAGAACTTGCATTTACTTTGAGATGAAGGCAATCTATAAACCTGCTGAGAATTTCTGAATGTATGGGCTTGAGGAACAAATTTAGAAATTCGAAAACTTGCGTTTACTTTGAGATGTAGGCAATCTATAAACCTGCTGAGAATTTCTTAATGTATGGACTTGAAGAGCAAATTTAGAAATTCGAGAACTTGCGTTTACTTTGAGATGTAGGCAATCTATGAACCTGAGTCTCTAACTTGAGAAGTGGCGATTTGACAATTTTGAAAATTTGCAAACTTTAAAAGTTGAGGGTAAGGATTTATAGACTTGAGAACTTAATAGAGAGTTTGAAGCATTTGAAACTTAAGAATAGAAAAATTCGTAGAACTGGAAATTTGTGGACCTGAGAATTTAAAAAGAGAAGAACTTGTGGTAAAAATTTGTAGTCTGAGAATTTAAGAAGAGAAGAATCTGTAGTGAAAATTTGTACACCTGAGAATTTAAGAAGAGACAAATCTGCGATAAAAATTTGTGGACCCGAGAATTTAAGAAGAGAAGAATTTGTGGTAAAAATTTGTGGACCTGAGAATTTAAGCAGAGAAGAATTTGTGGTAAAAATTTGTGAACCTGAGAATGTAAGAAGAGAAGAATTTGTGGTAAAAATTTGTGGGCCTGAGAATTTAAGCAGAGAAGAACTTGTCGTAAAAATTTATAGACCCAAGAATTTAAGAAGAGAAGAACTTGCGGTAAAAATTTGTAGTCTGAGAATTTAAGAAGAAAAGAATGTATGGTGAAAATTTGTAGACCTCAGAATTTAAGAAAAGAAGAATCTATGATAAAAATTTGATGACTTAAGAAGTTGAGAATAACAAAATTTGTAAAATTGAAAATTGTATTTGATAATTTCTTATCGGATACAGGAGAAATGTTTCTTTCGCAGTATGAATTGGCAGGCGTAATTGTTCGTCGCGTTCGCTCGCGGCGAAACGGGACGATCGGTGAATTTATTGGCTCGTATGTTAATTACTTTAATTATTACATGCTGTCAAAGGCTGATCGGAATACAAAGGAAGTTTATTCGACGCGGAACTATGTTTCCATTGCCCCGAGTCACTGATCGCCAATTAATTTTCCATAATTGGACGGACATGCTGGCACGATACACGCCTTGACGCTCGTGGTGTACACACACCGGTGTGCGTTCGCCACACCGCACCGTGGACCGCACACGTACGCAATGTCCGTTTAGAATGTGTCGATGCCAGCCGCCGGCCACGCCGCCGTATTTTCACCACGGAACCAATTAACAGTTTTCACCTATTCCTTTTTAGTAGCTTCGACCGAACGAGATGAAAAATAACGAAAAAAAAAAAGGGAAAAATTGGAAAAATAAAAAACGCGAAGCGGTGTATACCCGCATCGGAGAAAAAGACAGAATAACGAATGGGTCAAAGAGGGCCCAGAAGGGTGGGAAAGAAAATGAATGAAAAAAGCGTTGCTGATGGCCTTATACCGGCGGGAAAATCAACTTCGATCTTTTCGAATGTACAGGCTGCTTCAATATTGACGACAGTCCTTTTTTTCACCCGCAGCAGAAAAAAACTCGTTTAAACGCGCGAATTATTTGCTCTTGTTTCGCGAATCTTGACTATTTCAAATTGGGTGCGTCCCTTTTTTGATTGAGTTCTGCGCCTGAAATTGCTTGAAAATATAAAACCGCAGACTGTCGAACGTTCGTTACAATGTTGTCAACAATGTGAACATTTACTAACAAATTTTTTATATTCAACATTCACTGTTTATAGATAGTGTTTAATTTATAGATGGTATTCAATGATTCAAAGAAAATATATTTTCAAATCGTTTTGTCAACGTTTAAATATTAACAATATGTTAATGTCTTCTATGCATCACTGTACTATTATAAACAATATTTCAATGGAATATTTCAATTTTCATGATAAAATGGACATTCAGGATGATCTTAAAGAAAATTATTATCAATAAATCTTTGTACCAACAAGTGTATCATCAAGATTAAATTATACAGATTAGGTTAGACATTCAATAACATCAGAGTTAAACTAAAATTAACTTCAGTTTGAATTAAATAAAGTAATCAAGTTAGTAATAAATAAAGTAATTAAGTTAGTAATAAATATACTAATTCAAAGTTAGGCTAGAGAAGGAGCAAAGTAAGAACGTGATTAAGTACTGAAAAGTTGAAGAAGAACTCTTCCGATCGAAATAGTGGAAGACGTGTTGGTTCACCAGCACGAAATTTTCGGCTGCAAAAAATAAGGGTAATCCGACACTACATGGAAACCACATTGAGTTTTGCCAAGCACAAGTCGTAGAATCAACAAATCCGTCGGGATTAGATAACATCCCCCGGGATTGGTGGCCCTTCGTTTATCCTCCACCGAATCCTGAAGGGCCCGTCTTGTTGTCCCATCGGGTTATTGGTATCACTTAACGAAATCCGCGCCGAAATAGCTTTAAAAGCCCTGCCACGACCGTAACGGATTCAGATCGATTTTTTTCGAACCATTACCGCGAATCTGAGCAGCCAAAAACTTCCCTTTCAAAACAGACACTGTGTAATATTATGATGTGAGCAATAATATATGTGATAGGCATTCTAACAAATATTAAAACAATTTTACAAAATAAATCGTGAATAATAATCTCAAATTTATATGAGTATGAACTGCAAATAAAAATATCAAGTTTGTGAGTACAAATTGTAAATGAAAATATCAAGTTATAGATATGAAGTGTGTATAATAATGTCAAATTTAAATAAATATAAAATATAAATAGAACCTTCAAATTTATAAAAGTATAAAATATAAATAACATTAAGTTTATATTAATATAAAATGTAAACGAAAATGTAAAGTGTATATTAATATAAAACATAAATAAAGACGTCAAGTTTATATTAATATAAAATATAAACGAAAATGTAAAGCGTATATTAATATAAAATATAAATAAAAACATCAAGTTTGTACTAATATAAAATATAAATAAAACCTTCAAAGTTATATTAGTATAAAATATAAATAAAAACATGAAATTTATATTAATATAAAATATAAATAAAAATGACAAGTCTCTAAATATAAAGTGAGACAAAAAGTTACAGTTGCTCCTAAATAACTGAAACAAATATTTTTCAAATTTTTTCCTGTTAAAAAAAAGTTGTGTAACTCGTATTTTTTTCTTGAAAATCTGAAAGAGTTAACCTCTTAAATTGCAATGTCTTGGTGAACGCAAATTCGAATGAAAAACAAAGGATGTGATCGTACATTAGCCCGCGGTGATCCTGCCATAACGCAGATTATTCTATTACACGTTACGTAAACAGAAAGCACAAGCGGACGAGGCGAGCCAGTTGCTGGCTCTCTCTGTTTTCCGTATCTCGGCATCGGGATGTTGTTTGGTCTGAAAATACGTTATTGTTTCACCGTGATAAAAAATTCAGCGTTTGGATAATTACATCAGAGCTGATCGATCCGGTCAGCCCCCGGCGGATTTCCAACGAGTTACTGACTTACTTTACCTACCCTTTTCCGTTCGGCAACGCAGATGTTTACGCGATAAACTCGATATCGTGGTCGTGAAATGATATTCGATTAGCACGATCGTTTGTTAAATAACGTTGATAGGATACGTTTGGAATGATAGGTGGTATTTGGAAGAATTGACATGGAAATGATTTTTGGATGATAGAGGAGTTTAATATTTGAAGAGTTACATTTCAAGGTTGAAGGGAGTTTGAAGATTTCAGGATCAGAGAGTTGGTGATTTGGGAATTTTTACTTTTGGAAGATTGACGATTTTGGTATTTAGAGATTGGATAATTTCGAGATTTGGGACTTTGAAGATTTCAGGATCAGGGAGTTGGTGATTTGGGAATTTTTACTTTTGGAAGATTGACGATTTTGGTATTTAGAGATTGGATAATTTCGAGATTTGGGAGTTTGAAGATTTTAGTATCAGAGAATTAGTGATTTGGGAATTTTTACATTCGGAAGATTGACAATTTTGGAATTTAGAGATTGGGAAATTTCGAGATCTGCAAGTTTGAAGATTTCAGGATCAGAGAATTGGTGATATGGGAATTTTTACTTTTGGAAGATTAACAAATTTGAAATTTAGGGATTGCAAAACTTTAGGGTTTGAAGGTTTCAAGATTTTAGGATCAGAGAGTTGGTGATTTGAGAATTTTTACATTCGGAAAATTGTCTTTTGGAATTTAGTGATTGGAAAATTTCGATATTTGCAAGTTTGAAAAGTTCAAAATTAAAGATATTGATGAAATGAAAATTTTTACATTCAGATTAATTTTGAAATATAGAAATTTAAGAATTCAGGTAATTGAAGATATAACATGAGAAACTGGAAATTAAGAGATTTCAACTAACACAGCCCGAATTAATACTGGCCCACCCTAACATAGCAATCCTCCTCATCCCCCATAAACCAGGGCACGCGTTAAAAAAGGAGAATGCGTACTTCCAAGCGAAAGCTAGAGCATCGAAAGAACGAATCGGTTTTGGATAGAAGCACCCGTGCGTGGCAGCTGCGATCCTTTTCCGAATCTTTCTCTTCCCAGTTTCTGAACCCTGGCCGGCTGCATAATCCCTTCGATCCATGAGCACAGAGACGAGCGAGAAAACGTAAACAGAGATGAAAAATCGCGTTAGGAAAAGAAATCGATATAGATCGTAGAAAGAAGAGGCTGAGAAGGAAGCGCGAAAGCAACGAGAAGAACGACCCCGCTGTTTGCCTTTTATTAAACTCTTGTTAAACGCCGCCTTTCTTCGCACACACAATTGAATCGGCAAAACAGCGAAGATAATGCTTCGACCGTACACGACCGGAGGGCCAGGTCTATGTGGAAGACTTACCGCAAACACCAGCTCCTTGTACACCCTGAAATGGACACCGTGTAATCCGGCTCTTTATACAGCGCTGCCGCATTGACCGGCTCCTCCGGGCATGCACATCGGGCCACTCCCGCTAATAAATGCCCGTTCTCGAGAAAAGAAGAAGAAAATATAAACCTCTGTGTGATGGAAAGATTCTTGAACGACCGTGAAAATCGCACGACCCTCTTGCAGAATTCCAATGAAAATATTTGGATATTTCGAACGAATATCGCTCTGGCGTGGGCCACGTTTTCTAAGCGTGCCATTGTTAGGCGGAAACTTCTATATTCGAACCTTCGAGGCTAATATGACTTTGTTTGCGGAGAAGATGGGTTTATTGAACCGTGCAGTTTTACTTAAGTTGGGCAGGTACTCATAATTGGTCGCTAATCGAGATGTGGAATTTCGAGATTTTGCAGATTTAATGTTTTAAGTTGTTTTTTTAGCCCCTTGCGCTATTTTGACGAGTCAGACTCGCGACGCACTCGTACCTCGGCGATGATCAATTTTACTCAAATTTTTAATACGCTTCAATTTGGAGTTCAAGTCCAATTATAATTTGCATAGTCAACTATTGAATAATAACATATTGATATAACATTTCAATTTTTTATGTCTGTTTTAATATTGTAGCTGTAATTAGTTAGTTCTGACTGACGCACCTGAAGGATTAGTCATAGTGCAAGGGGTTAACCTGTTAACTTATGATTTCTTAGTGGATGCGTCAGATAGAGCGACTTAATTATTGTTGTGATATTAAGATAGACAACGAATGTTCAAATGTTAGAGGCGTTTTCTATATGGCGATCATTGATGGAGGGGTAGGAATTGAAATTAAACTCGAAATTGAATCGTGGTGAAAATGTGAGCTAGACTTGTCACATGTGAACAGTTATGTGCGTCACATATGAGAGACGATATTGTAAGGCAAGGTTTAACGTGGATGTTAACGTGCATTTTTATCTGTCGATGATGGAAAATTAATTTAAGAATTTAAGACTGATTATGACCTTGAGTGTGTAACAGGGGGTGAGTGTGTGATAGCGAGGTGAGTGTGTGATAGCGGGGTGAGTATGTAACAGCGAGGTGAGTGTGTTACAGCGAAGATGAATGTAGATCAAGGTGGACGTAAAGTCTCATGATTCGTTAAAATGTTTATCTGTCGATAATGGAAAATTAATTTAAGAATTTAAGACGATTATGACCTTGAGTATGTAACAGCGGAGTGAGTGTGTAACAGAGATGAATGTAGATCAAGATAAATGTAAGGTCTCATAACTCATTAAAATTATGTTCAAGCAAATGTTATTGGTTCATTATTTATTGCTTACGGGAAAAACCGATTGGAGTATACAAGTTAAATAAGAGGTATAAATTCATACAAACATAGGTACATTATTTCTAAAATTAAAATTAGAGTTACAACGATACGATAGATACAATGGATTTTTGATATCTGGATGTACATTACTGGAATGATATATCAGTAAATTTCTTGTAGGAACATCAATTTTCAAACGCTTCTATCAGTATATTATATTAGACCTCAACATCCCTAGGTGCAAAATATGTACCAATATCCCTGGATTCCGGTATCTCCAGATTCCGATATTTTTAGGTCGCTATATTCCTAGATCCTATGTCCCTGTAACTACTCGTTTCCAGCTCCCTAGACCCTTGGATCTCTAAATCACTAGATCACTAGATCAACCCCTAAATCGCTAGATCCGTATTCCTCTATTTCTAAGTCTCCATAAACTGATATCTTTACAATACCAGAAAACAGTTCCTTTACAAGAAAACAGTGAATGTTACTAAAATTTTTCAAACGTCATCTTAAATTGGATTGTAGCCTTTTATGGAATTTTTATAGAGAATTATTACTAGATCAGTTCCTGTTGCATATCTGATGAAACAATGTTGATGAAATCAGATCTATTCGAAAAATTGCAATGATGTATCCTTATATATTAATCGAACACCGATCGGTTAAATTATTCCGTATTATTGAATGGAGGTTTAAGGTTCGAATAACGATATTCGAAACTGATTGTTGAAACGACTTCCCCGTGCGGTAATTGTATCTCCTCTTCTATGATAACCGATTTAATTATCGTTATCCGCAATTCCTTTCGATTCACCGTATCGGTCTCGGGTTTGCATCGGTAATGTTCTTCAAAACAATTTTAATTGCAACCAGATAAGGCCGGAAATCAAAGGTTACAACGCAACAAAACGGCAGAGTGTAACGAGATATCGGGGAAAATAAATTCTCGTCGAACGCGTACGCGTTTATTAAATGTACAAACGCTTCGTGATGTCGACTGCATTTATTCGAGTTCCAACAATTTCTCATTACGATGATTCGTACAATTTCCGAAGCTTCTGACGGGTAACCAGCGAAAGGGTGCGTCCGACGAAACCGTGAAAAATCAAACGAAACGAAGGAACAATATAATTGTGCACGGTTTATAAACGACGTTTATTTCACCAATTTTGTTTTCGATCTTCTCTCTTTTCAATTTCTCGTTTACAACCGGGCCATCCAACTCGATTTGCGAATCTTGCGCGTATACGAATGTGTGCGAGTGTGTGGGTGTACAACACATATACGTGTACATATACGTATTTTATTTATATATAATGTATATATATATATATATAGAGGTAAAAACTAAGTACTCGTACAAAACGTAGGTTCTCTTCTGCATCGTGGGATCTCGTTTAAGGGCACATTATAGGACTCTATGTGTAGATACATATACATATGCATGGTTAGCCATTTATATACATATATATTATGTATACACATACGTTTTACATACTTTCGAAAGAGATATGATATCTGGATATCGTTTAACTAGACGAACTCCTTCATCGTTTACGTTAGTCTCCTTTTTCTTTTGCCTTACAATTCGCTTTTGTTATTGACTAGTAACGATCGTAATTGACTAATAAGTACCGAAGGGATGAGATTTTGGAAAGATGGGGATGGTATTGCATGAGTTCAGAAGTATGGACTTTATGGTGTACGGTAGGCATGATCAAGTACTGTATTAGGCTCTTACCCATCACTTTGCAAGTGAGAAATTTTCATGTTTCTATGCTTCAAATTTAAAAATATTTTACTTTTAAAATTCCAAAATTTCTGTAAGACAAATTTGTGAATTTGTATATTTCTACAAGCTAAGATTGCAAATTTTCAGATTTTCAAATCTTTGAAATTTTAAGGGAGTAAATTTTTAGATTTCGATGTCACTAAATTTCGAAGTTCTCAAATTCTCAGATCCCTAGATCTGCAAACCTTTAGAACCTCAAATCCTTAAATTTCCAGATTTCCAAATCTTAAGATTGCTAAAACCAAAATTCACCAAGTTTCGAAATCCCTAAATTTAAAAATTACCAAAACCCAAATTTTCCAGTTCCCAATTTTCTCAAACTCCAAATTCCCCAGATATAATCTCTAAATTTCCAGATCCCTAAATTTCCAAATTTCCAAATCCCCAGATCCTTAAATTTCCAAATTTCCAAATCCCCAGATCCTCAAATTTCCAGATTTCCAAATCCCCAAATTACCAAAACCCAAACTCACCAAATTTAAGTCCCTAAATTAAAAAATTACCAGAACCCAAATTTTCTAATTCCCAAAATTCACAAACCCCAAATTCCCCAGATCTCCAAGTCTCTAAATCCCCAAATCCCCAAACTTCCAAATTTCCAAATCCCCAAATTACCAAATCCCAAACTCATCAAATTTAAGTCCCCAAATTCAAAAATTACCAAAACCCAAATTTTCTAATTCCCAAACTTCTCAAACCCTAAATTCCCCAGACCAAATCTCCAAATCCCCAATTCCCTATTTCCCCAAATCCCCAATTCCCTATTTCCCCAAATTTCTAAACCTCCAACCTAACAAATTCCCTAAACTTCCCAAATTACAAGCTTATCCTAAACACTCGATCATGCTCACAGTACACAGCCAAACACACTAGGCTTCTCTAGGGGAAACGGCGATCTAGGAGAAAGATAGGTAATTAAATTCTCAACACAAATGCTATCGTTTAATCAGCAATAAAAATTTGATGATATATTCGAATAAAAAAAAAGAGGGACGAAAAACCCATAAACATGTCGAATTGCTATGACCTGCTTCTTTTTTTCTAGCAATGTTATACATATGTATACGTGTATACATACATATTTATATAATTATAAGTACAATCGTAAAAACAGCTGTTAGGGGCACAATCAGGTCACTAAGTAATTAGAATCATTTTAACATCTTCATTATCTGTTTGTCTCTTCAGTTTCTTTTTTTGCTCGATATCCTCCGCTGAAGTTCATATGATATATATATAAAAATACATGTATATTGTAACAAACTCTCGATCCGTGTAACTTTTTAAATATGGTCTTCATATAGTTATACATTTCACGATTGAGTTGCCTGATGGAATAAAATGTGTATGAACTTGAGGCATATTCGGATAATGAAGTCTGGAAGAAATCTAATGATCAAAGTGTATGTACGTGTGTTTCTATGTGAAGAAACCTCTCAGTTTTCTAGCCATAGCGATCATGCCGTTTTCCCTTTATCGATCAAAAAAGGACTACATCCGACCCGTGTGAAGATCCCTATCTATGTGGAGGCACTGTAAAACGCGTAACAAAGTTCTTTTTTTTTATTTTTTTTTCTTAATTTTACTTATACACAAAAGTCTGTTGCTCATCCATAAGTGAAACATGAACTTAGTTTCATCTAGTACGTAGACAATAATTCGTAGAAAAATTCATCGTTTGTTCCCGTGCACGAGAATAAAAGTTTGTTGAAAAGAAAATCATGCACGGACTTCGAAATAATCATAAATGGCACTCGTTGTGAAATTCCTTATCGTTAAAGGAAAATTCGAATCTTCAGTTACTTCACGTGAAATGACACGTCGAACTGATTAAATGCTGAAGAGTTTCATCACCGTTGCAACTTTCGGTGGGCAATCAAGAAAAATTGGAACTTTGCTTGAAGATGGTATTACAACGAGTGAACGACTGTTCTTTGTGTCTGTTTAAGGGGTTACATATCAGCTTTTTGAAAGCTTGCAAACTTAACTCTTAACTGATATGGTAGAAATCTATTCCACTAATTTGATCATTTTTTTAAATTTAACAAATTTTTAAATAAAGTATTAAACATAACCTATAATATTATTTTTTACTTCTAAAATTTACATCTAAATGTCTTCACATTTCTGTGAGTTTCATACTTTCAATGTGATAAGATATGTAAATTTTGAATTATAGTATTGCATTAAGTTTTTTGACATGTCTTTAAGATACATATTACAGCCTCATCAGGAACTATAAAAATTGCAAAAGACTTGAATTATAAATTCAAACCAGAAGGAATAAATTTAAAATACTTATGTAGCCCCTTAACTCGACTTCATTCCGCACGGAATAAACACATTGAACAATAAATTCTTAAACAACTTACTCTATTTAGAAAACGTGTAAAATTTGTCCATGTTTGTTTCGATATCTTCTTCTTCCAGATCTGTATCGTTTGGTACAAATGTGTTTTAATCTGAACCGATAACAACAATATGTTCGACGTGTATAGACGAGATGTGTTCGTATTGCCTGTGTGTGCGTTTACACGTGTAAAATGTATGTGTACATTGTTCGTGTACATTTTCTCGAGTATCTTATCGCTAAATCATCGTCGTTTATTAATAATTTATTACTGTTATCGAGTACTGGAGTTCTAATTGGCACTGTACTTTACATGACAGTTCCATCAGCTGACAGTTTAAAACATAATAAAGAAAAACGCTATATAAATCCACTACTCGTTGAGTTTAAGGTTTCGCCTCAATCAACGCTATGTTACATGACAAGGTGCATTCAACTTTAAGTATAATCTATTCTTCATCCACTTTCGTTATCAACCGCACAATGTAAACGAAATAACTTGCAAACTTCATTTGCTGAAAATTGTTATAAAAAAGTACATGTACATATTCCAAAAATACGAGAAGAAAATAGGATTTTTATAAAGAAAAAATAAAAGGGTTGTATGATTCTGTTTCGGATGAAATCCTTAATGATCATAACGAATGTATGCGACGCAATTTCAAGGATACAGATAGAAATAACCACCTGAATGAAAAGCGAATATCGCAGAATTGTTCAAACTTTCTACGCAGACGTTTCTTGAATAGCGGTAACTGGGTCAATGACACAAAAATTAGATACGAAAATTTAAAAAATTATGAAATACATTCAGACATTGAAAACGTAATATCTGAAGTATCAAATATACAAAACGAAAACAAATTTATAATCAAATTATTCATGGAGTCAAGACCCAGTTCCGCTGTTCAATAGTTGAGGAAATTTATTTTAGATACAAATTGAACATTTTTGAACACGCTGAGCGGATTTTTATCAATACAATTTCCTTGGAAATACCAAGAATATTCGAATAAAAAAATTTGGATAAGTTACTGCAACACGTATACATCAACTTCTGCTGTTTTGAGCGACACGAACCTAAAAACTATACATAGCTAAGTACCTAGTACGGCTTTCAATAAAACGCATCTTATCGAAAGCTCAACAATCATGTTCACACGGATGCAATGTAGGCTTCCTTTGAGTGACTAATGTAGTAAGACCCTCCCATCATTTGCCATCAATTTTGGGGTGATTTATAAATTTGACACTTTAAATTTGAAAATTTACCAAGTGATGGGTCCTGTCTCTACATCGCCATTCTCCTTAGGGAAGCCTGCCGTGCTCGCTACTGGACATGAAATAAAAAAAAAGAAAGGAAAAAATATTCACACACTTGATGCTCGTAACGGAGATTTAGCGATCACACATGTAATATTCATTTTTATTATTTTTTTTTTCGTTTAAGTGTGTTTTTGTGTAGGCTAAAGCCATCGAACTGGTTACCGGAGATTACATCTATTAAAAGTTGAACAGTTGATAAAGGATGATTTTAATTTCACATGAAAAAGATCAGTTCTTCCATTTGGCTTTTTTTCCTACCAAAGTCTACTCGCAATAATCCCGCTCATCATTATACGCAGAGATCGAAGTTACATTCTCGAAAATGAAGCTTTCGAATACGCATAGTTCTACGAAGAACTATCGACGCTTAATCTTTCCTTTTATTTTTTCCATAACAATTTTCGCCGTCTCTGTGTTGGATATAGAATTTCGAATGACGACTTTGTTTACCTATTCACCACGAGATTCCCTTTTGCTTTTGTTTCTTTTTATTCTTCTCTCTCGCTTGCATGCTTTTACTCTACTACGAGTACATCGTTAAGTCTGTGACATACAAATAATATTTCTTGTTTGTGAGAGACACAGTCGGTACGGTAACGAAGAGTGTCACGGCGTTACCTAGGATTCTAGCGTTGCATTCGATGGCATATACGACATTTCCATGGTGATGCCGGCGCTACTGCGACGGAACCTGGATGGGATGTCGGTGCTGTTGCGAGGCTTGCGTTTACTCAAATGCCTTTCAACCCATTTCAGCATTGTCAGCACAGAATCGGTGCTCGGTAAACGTCGTTCCGCTGATGTACGAATTATGTGCGAAGACGCCACGCGGAAGGTAGCAGCCATACCTTTCAGCGCCTAAACGTAATTCAGCACAAATTAGGAAATTATGCGATCACTCTGACTACTGCTACGTCTAGAAATTTTCTTCAAAACCTTCATACCTTCATTGCATCTTCGTCTGTGACATCGTCACCAGCATAAATAATCCTGATACGTTCGCTCCAATCCAAACCGAAAGCTGTGCGCAGAATGTAAATGGAAGCACGTCCTTTGTTCCATTCGACCGGTGGTTTCGCCTCGATGGCGCAGTGTGCTGGACAGGGCTTGAAACCTGCGTCTGCGATGATTTTCTTTGCTTGCTCGACCATCTGAGTACGAGCGTCCACCGGTGTTTCACGATAGTGGAACGTCAACAATGCACCCTTGTTCTCCACCCAGGCGCCATCCCTGCAAAGCTGTATTCAACCGATGAACATAAATACATTGCAATCTTGTGACCACAGATGATCACTAATCCAAGGAATAATCAAAGCTACACACCTGATCTTGCAGGGCTTGCATCAAATTCGCCACCTTTTCCTCCAGTTCAGCTGGCATTGGATGAACGAACTTGCTACCGTCTGGATGGAGAATTTCTAATCCATGGTTTCCTGCGTACGTGATACCCTCTATGCCAACCATGGACTTGACGTTGTTCACGTTTCTACCAGATATGATTGCAATGTACACATCCGACATGTTGGACAACCTTTGCAAAACGTTCTTCGTCTCCAAAGGTAAGATAGCCAGATCTGGATGCGTTGCGATGGGTGCCAGAGTACCATCGTAATCCAACAACAGAGCCAGCTTATGGTTGTCGCCGATGTACCTAGGGGACATGTGTTATCACTGGAACGTTACCCGGCTTTCATCATGAGTCAGGTCGCATTCGCACGCGCGGGCCCGCCGTCTTCCAAAAGCATTCTTTTAGCCGAAAATAAAAATAACTTTTCTTCAAGGGAACATCATCCAACTCTGAAGGTCTCACGTTAACGGTACATCTTGAGGTTTTCATACTCGGTAATGTTACGTATCGGATACATTGGAATCGTTTTACTGTCACATAGGATAAATCTTCAAGGACAGAATAAATGTTAATTCGCGCGCAGTTCTTCAAGCTGCTTGCCCTTTAGAACCGTAACGCGACATGTCTTTCGGAGGAAGATCCACGAGGTAATTGGTATTCCCAACGCTGCGACGTACCAAACTCATGCTCAATTTATAAAAAATAATTTCATCACAGAACAAAATTTGATCACTCCGAACGAACGAGCATTCCATTTTAATTTCGTTCAGTTACTAAACTTGTATCTTTAACAAGCATCCCCAGCAATTTATATTTAATATATGTAATAAGCAAACTGTATCAAACATTATTCCTAAGGAGAACTAGTAAGCTAAGTGTACATATATTTTCATAAAGTCTGATCAAAGAGAATGTGGCGCACAGAGGCTCCACACTTTTTGTCCCTAAGAATTTAGAAAGGAAATGTCTACTATCCTTCGTAAAATAGTTCGCCTATAACATATACATTGAAGGTGTGATTAATTCGTAATCAACAAAGGAATTAAAGGATTAATTATTTACCGTGTGTAAGCACATGCTCTGGTCGGGCCCAGTCATGCACATTCATGAACTATAGTGATACATACTTGCTCAAATAATCGTCAAAGTCATCCATGGTCACCGGTTGCATTGTCGTAGCCCCTACAGAGTCGTGTTCTTCGAGAGAACCCATCACTTGCAGGAAGGATTTCATCCAGTAATTGACATCGTAAATTCTTTCGCGGCGTCTTAGATGATTCATTCTTAACGTGCGTTCGTCTTCCGGCATAGTAAGCGCTCTGAAACGTTTTTCGCATTAAATATCTCATTTTCCTTTCTAGGTTAAGTACATGATAATGATGTCCCCGCCATTCGAGATACGTTACAAGAATGTAAAATGCAACGAGAAGAATTAGGATGCAAGTTTGCAAATTACCTGTGAATAACCTCTGCAGCTTCATCAATTTCGTAAGGATTGCAGATCAATGCTTCGTGCATCATTTCTCCGGCTCCAGCGAATGGTGAAACTATCAGTACGCCTGGTGGAGTGTTAATTTGACACGCAACAAACTCTTTAGCCACCAGGTTCATTCCGTCCCTGAGGGGTGTAACGAGAGCAACCGCAGCATCCCTGTAGAACGCTGCCAACTCATCCTGACTTACGCAACCGTAAATGTAGCGAATAGGAGACCAATTAGGCGTTGTGAACCGACCGTTTATGCGACCGATCAGTTGATCCATTTCCAGCTTCAGGTCCTGATATTCGCGCACGTCTGTTCGCGACGGTACAGCAATTTGCAGCATGGTGACCTGATAGCCAATACAATCGATCGATCAACGGACTACGTTAAATATGACAACGCAATTCATGGAAGCCTTAAGTGGTTTAATAATGAACCATTTAACGGAGAATTGAATTACCTGTTCGCGATGCTGCGGGTGTTTTTCCAGCAACATCTCGAATGCTTTCAGTCTGTGGACCAAACCTTTAGTGTAGTCGAGCCGATCAACGCCCAACACGATTTTCTGATTAGTCGACATGACCTTGTTGGCAGTCTCGGCCAGCGAGACGAATCTGTCGAACGGAATACCAATGGGAAGCGGTCGTACGCGCACGGTTCTTCCACCGTGTTCCACTAACAGATTCTTACGATCCACTCTGCAACCTAGACACCTTTGACAACAGTCAACGAAGTTTAGGCAGTAGTCCTGAATGTGGAATCCGACCATATCGCACCCTGAAATAATATTTATTTTGATTAGAAGAACTAACTTCACATGATTAGGGTGGAAGAAGAAATTTGAAGATTTGGAAATTGAAAAAGCTTACTTACCGAGCATACCCTGAAGAATCTCATCGGCCCAAGGGAACAGTCTGAATATGTCCCATGGAGGGAAAGGAATATGAAGGAAGAACCCTAACTTTAACTTCAATTGTTTCTCATCTGCTGCTTGTCGAATCCAGTTCGCGGCTAACATTAAATGATAGTCGTGTATCCAAACCAACGGAGTGCCATTCGATTGATTTGCTTGTTCCTTGTGGATCTGTTCGAGAGCTCCAACCTAAATAGCAGAAACACATTCGCAATCTCGCTCACTATGGACTGATCCTCTAGGTTCATTTCCTACTCGGTAAATGTGATGTTCGAACTTGACTATTGTCCGTTAAAATCGGTGATTTGGTTTATCTAATTTTTTATTGTAACTGGTAATCTGATTATGGCGCTTACCGTTTTGGCAGCGAATTTCTCGTTAACGGAGGAATATGCACGCCAATGGTCCGCGATAAATGTCGCACGATCGGGCATAGAGTGGAACAGCGGCCAAAATGTCCCATTGCAACATCCATTGTAGTACGAGTCGAAGACAGTCGGCTCGACGTGCACTGCCACAACCTGGATAACAAACATTATACTCCCTTTAGTTTATAAACTCCACACTTCTATAGTCAAAATATAAGAGATATAAAATTTCCTTTATATCAACATTCATAAAAAATTCGATGATTGTATATGAAATTGTTCCATGTACACATATGGTAAGCCATGAGATTCAACCTAATGCAACCTGACTTAAAATCATGTAACCTAATCCGATTTAACCTAACATAACCAGCCATAATCCTACAGCAACTATAAGTGAACACTAATTTAACCTAATATAATTGTAACCTTAACTCAATCTGATTTAATCGAACTAACTTTAACTTCAATTCTATGATCTGACGTAATACATAGTATAACGTAATCTAAGTTAATCAAATCTAATCTTAACGTAATCCTAACCTAAGTATGATGTAACACGAAGCTAACCTAACCCGACCAATCTCTTTTCAGACTTCTTAAGAATAATATCAATGAAAAGCTATTTCCCTCGGGACGTTTCTTAATTAAGAAACGACTATCCTCATTTCCTTCTCTGTAACATTGAATGCAACCGAGTGTATTTATAGTTTTCGTTATCATTTGTTCCACGCTCAGCTTCCTATTTTTATTGTACCTTAAATCACAGATACCGATTGTTATAAATAACCGTACAGTGAGCGCGTCAGACAAATACATAGTAACAGCCTTTTTTTATGGCGGTCGAACGAGCGTAACTCGTGGATCGATTCCAACATAAAAGAGTACCGTTCCAAATTGCGTTAGAATCGAGCATACAACCGCGATCGAAGAAAAAAAAAGAAGTTGAAGAAACGGGGATAAGGATGATGGATGCACGCGTTGACGGCAATCGGAAGTGCATAAAAAGTCCGACCCAGAAGTCGATAAAGTATTATTGCTGGTGGATACGTGACGCTTTCAACGTTTCTTGTTAACTTTCATCGTTATCCTACACGACGTTGTTTTTCTTTTTGCTTCCTTTATTGTACCCGAACGGGTGAAAACACGTCCTCCGATCGTCGATTGACGCAAGCGGCCAACAATCGCTAATGAGATAATTATTAATGTCTCCTCGTGGCAGACACAATCATCAGAGGGAGGATCAGATGTGTCTTAATTAAGAGACGCTAAATAGAAACAAGCGATTTTGCAATGTTTCTGCAATTACATCGATTGCTTTATTTATACGTAAGGTCAGGAGCGGTCGATTTTTTCGAGATGATCTCTTTCATGAGCGTTTACGAATACGATGCCTGATAGCAGTTTCAACGTTATTATAACTTTGATGATATGTCTGCACCGAGATAATTGTTATAATCGAACATCTACAGCTACTATGAAAGTGAAATGTGTGTGTCGTAAACCGTATTATATAAACGTAAGTTCTTAGGTTTTTTAATTGGAGATCGGTATGTTCTGATGTTCAGTGTTAATAGATACCTATGGTTCTAGGTCCTCATCACACCTTAATATGTTCATACATACTCATATCTTTTCATAGGTAGATCACTACGTTCTAAGCTCACATGTCTCTATACTTCTATATTCTTAGGTACTCTATATTCTGCGTCCTTGAATACGTATTTCCATAGGTTTCTACGTCTTCAGACACCTACGTTTTAAACACCAACATCCATAGATGCCTACGTCCCTAGGTACCCATATCCACAGATACTCACACTACTACATACCCACATCCATAGGTACCTACATTCTAAGATATCTACCTTCATAGATACCTACGTCCCTAGATATTATCTACCTTCATAGATACCCACGCCCCTAGATATCTACCTTCATAAATATTCACGTCCCTAGATATCAACCTTCATAGATACCTACGTTCGCAGATATCTACCTTCATAGATACCTACATTCACAGATATCTACCTTCATAGATACCTACGTTCGCAGATATCTACCTTCATAGATACCTACATTCACAGATATCTACCTTTATAGATACCCACGTCCCTAGATATCTACCTTCATAGATACCCACGTCCCTAGATATCTACCTTCATAGATACCTACGTCCCTAGATATCTACCTTCATAAATACCCACGTCCTTAGATATCAACCTACATAGATACCTACGTCCTTAGATATCTACCTTCATAGATACCTACGTCCCTAGATATCTATCTTCATAGATACCTGCGTCCCCAGATATCTACCTCCATAGATACCTACGTCCCGAGATACCTACATCCTTAGACACCTATGCTCCTAGATGCCTACGTTTCTAGACACCTACATTCCCAGTTCTCCACATCCCTAAATCTCCACATCCACAGACCTCTATCCTCATATATCCATCTCCTCTATATCCCTCAGTCTCCAATACTTCTATATTCTTACGTTCCTCATCTACGTCGTCAGATATCTACGTTCCCAGATCTTCACACCCCGAATACCGACATTCCCAGATGTCCACATCTCCATATTCCTACGTCTTTCGTTCACTACATTCTTAAGTTCCTACATTCCTACATTTCTAGATTCCTTCTTCCTCAGATATCTGCATAACCAGATCCCCATAGCTATCCTTACGAAATCCTCTAAACTAAATCTTCATAACCTACATCTTCAAATTCCTCTATCTAACGCTCAGATTCCCTAACGATATTTATTATTGCAAGAATTTGTGATTCTATTTAATTCCACTGTAATTACATCTCCTGTCATATTAATTGCAATTAATCATTCCATCCATCAACAGTACACATTTTCTTACAATGAGTATCATTCGATATAATGTGATTTTTTAGTCGAATAGAAAAAGTAATCTCATGCAATTAACGTTCTTGGGTGTTTGTAACGATGACACTTCATAACCAAACAATTAATTACTCAACATTATCCAACGAACAATTACGTTTAATCATCGTGTTTTTCTTAGGGGAAAGGCATTTGTAAAGAACGATTGATACGCGTCAGACGAATTCAAAAGTTGGCGGGTAAAAATGAACGAAAACAAAAACGGTCGAGGGAAAGCAACAAAGCTCCGACAAACGAGTTCGTGCGTGTAATTATTCTTTTTTCTTTTGATATGTTGGTCAAAACCGTTGACACGAAAACGAGTATCAATGTTTTAGAAGGCTACGATCGAACACAGGTTCTGTATTCGTTAGAGCATTGTTACAGTCTCCGAGTTCCATGAATCGATCAGACGCAATCGAATCTGGGTGATTCGTTTGCATTTAACGCATTGTGTGCAACCTTGAGCGATCGCTTTTTATGCACCGTGTTATGGAATTGTAAATACAATAGAATTTCATTATTCGAATCGATAAATTTTCGAATAACGAAACACCTGCAGGTCAAAGTCGTATTTACATACAAAGTTTCTTTGTAATAATTATAATTTTAATTTATTATTGTGCAGAGTGGAATTAATACCTCAATCATGTCCGTTTTATTGATCGATATCTAAAGTGGCAACAGTTATAAGCATGTATTTTAAAAAGCATGTAAAGACGTCTGTAAATCTACATTTTCCCGCTGCTATTCAGAACAAGTATTTTCATCACATTTCAAAGCTGTATTCCTTTTGTGCATCAGCTAATTGCAAGTTCTTTTAGCGATAAAAGGGGCTTTGTAGTTAGATAATGGATATTAAATATTATCTCCGTTATTTGATATTCTTCGATAGTAATGTAACACAAGAGATTATTAATTTCTTCTGACGCTAATATTCTGTGACATTCTAGTAATTTTAATTTTCATACGATAATTGCAACGTTGGCAAGGTTGTAAGGACGGTGTGAATTTAATTTAGCGACTTAATTGAAACAGGAAAGAAAGGAAGAAGATTTTAAACGTCTTAGAATTTCGTGTTTCGTTGAATTTGTAGACTGTGTCGTGCCAGACACGACTAATTCTACTGTCGCCGCAGTGAAAACAGACTGTCACTGCCAGCGCGTTTAGATTATCGATGATCCACTAGCTCAATATTAACCGAAAGAAAATAGGTTGAACAACAATGTAGTATTAGTGTTTTATTAATTTCACTAGGTGGTAATTAGGAAGTTTATGTTGAAAAATAAAATAAAACAATTACAATTACACTATGTCTACATATGGATTACATATGGTCTTACTACATATGGACATTTTCACTGTGTCGATCAAGTTAGAAACACAAACTAATTATAACTTTCAAATTTACACGTTTAATTTATTATTTTTTACTAGATACAAGCAAAATATACACTTGAGTTTACTGTGTCAAGACAATTTCCAATCTCAATATTTTAATATCCCCAGATCTTAATTTCTATATCAGAAATATCCTAGAATGCAGCTTAAATTTCAAAATCACTAAATCAAAAAATTTCTATAGTATAAACTATTTACATCCAAAAATCCCTAGACTCCAAAATCCTTAGTTCCAAATATCCTTAAATTCCAAAAATCCCTAGATTCGAAAATTTTCAGATTTTGACATTCCTGCATCACAGATTCTATAGGGTCAATAATTACTATACTAAAAATTCCTAATTCCAAAAAATCCCTAGATTTGAAAAATCCTTAGATTAGAAATTTTTTAAATCTTGAAATTCCTGCATTACAAATTTTCTAAAGCTAAAAATCCCTAAATTCGAATATTTCTAAATCTTAAAATTCCTACGCCACAAATTATCTAGACCCCAAAATTACTAAACCCAAAAATCCTTAGATTCAAAAAATCCCTAGACTCAAACCTTTCTAAATCTTAAAATTTTGCATCACAAATTTTCAAGAACCCAATAATCCCTAGATCGCAAAATTCCTAGATCCCTAAATCCCAACGTCACCATATTCCCATCTCCCTAAATTACTACTTCCATCGTGACATCACTAAACCCCATATCGCTATATCCCTAGTTCCATTTATCCTAGTGTGTCTTATACTAATAAAAGCGTATATCTTGAACTGGCGATTTTCAAGATTTGTTGATTTATCTAAATGAAGACCGCGATGTTAATTTTCGACGAACAGCATCCTGGAAGAGAAGACCGTGCTAGT